GAGCCTGTATCTTTTCTTAAGAGACAGAGTCTTGCTCTGTTGCCAAGCTGGAATGCAGTAGCATGATCATAGCTCACTGCAGCCTCCAACTCCTGGACTCAAGCAATCCTGCCTTAGCCTTCCAAGTAACTGGGACGAGAGCCGCACACCACCATCCCTACCTTGCCTGTGTCTTTATTTTATTTAAAAATGTTTTGTCCTGGTTCAGCACCCATGCTCAGTGGTTAGGGCGCTGGCCACATGCACTGGGGCTAGTGGTTTCAAACCCAACCAGAGCCTGCTAAAACAACAATGACAACTACAACCAAAAAATAGCCAGGTGTTGTGGCAGGCACATGTAATCCCAGCTACTTGGGAGGCTAAGGCAAGAGAACTGCTTAAGTCCAAGAGTTGGAGGTTGCTGTGAGCTGTGATGCCACAGCACTCTACACAGGGCAACAAAGTGAGACTGTCTCAAAAAAAAAAAACAAATAAAAATGTTTTATTCAGTCCAGCATCACCTCCATCCAACTAAAGGCAAAGACTGCTTCAATTTCCGAATTCTTATAACACCTCACATAGCAAGTACTCTTTTAGAGAAGGATGAAGTAATTAAATTACAGTCTGAGGAAGAAGAATCTGAGATGGTTTGTTTTTTGTTTTTTTGAGGGTTTTCTTTGAGAGATGGGTTTGAAGCATTTAGTTGAGCAAAGGAGAGTTGAGCTTCCAGGTAAGGAGAGGGATGTGTGTTAGTGGGCCAAGGATCAAGAAGCCACAGGGGGGAAAAAAAAGGCAGGGAATAACCAAGGCCAGATTATGGGGGCAGCAATAGAATGAGCTGACTAAACATAAGTGTGCTTGTGGGAGCAGAATGCAGAACAGACTGGGCAAAAGAAGGGAGAGACCTGAGACTCTGGACCAAGCAGACTTCTGCAACAATTCTGGTAAACCATGGGAGGTTTACCATGGAGGTAAACAAAGACTTTGACTAAGAAGGTGTAGAACATCCAAGCACTGGTTGGTCCAAGTGGGTACAGTTTACACCATTAAGTCATTAGAGCTATGAAGGTGAACATAGGGTAGGGATGAAAGAATGCTCTTAACACTACTCCAAATGCAATTCTAACCATGGGAAAAGATCAAAGGCCAATCTCAGCTCTAAAGACACTATCCCACACTTCACCTTCTCCACAACTCCCTCAAAAACAGGTGTGCCCCTCTCCTACTTTAAAATAAAACTCTAAATACAGGCTGTTAAATTGAGCTTCGATCACTTAAATTGTTCCAATATCCCCCACTAATACCTGCAAATAAAACTAATTCCACTGTGTGTATATCCAGTTGGGTGGTTCTAGACAAGTTCTTTGATCAGAATCAGGATGTCCTCTTTTTACAAAATTGAGGCAGTAGTACCTGCTTTGCTAGGATACTTGGCAACAAATTTAATGAATGTCTGCAGAGTACTTTTGGGCTCCTTGGAGAACAGTTCTATATATACAGTAGTTTATGACCTGCCTGCTACCGCAGATTTTCCAAGTGTAATCTTGTTCTCCCTTTTGGGATGTGCTCCCCTTTAAGCCTATGTTCAACCTCCTGACGGAGGCTTCTTCATATGAGGAAACAGCCCTCACCTCCAAGACCCTGAAAGCCCTACAAGACCCCAGCACAAGATACTACCTAGGCATCTTATTTGCTTTCTCATCTTGTCGAATTTCTTACTCCACTTAAAAAGGCCTCCAAGAGTTCTAGCTTAGGAAAGCAGGTTCCTTCATTAACTCCTCAGCTAACAAGACTAACCCAGTATTTCCTTCCTAAAATGTGAATTAGCAATTACAGCAATATGCCTTTATAATTGCAGCTTCAGCCCGTGCTCCTCAGGTTTACTCAGAGTAGGTTATCAACAGACGACTCATTAAGATACTCAAGTGTGTGAGAGTAAGAGAAGAAGGGTCCCCAACACCGGTTTAGCTATGTTTCGGTCACTGTAGGAAAAAGGTTTCTCTATCATTGTTGTCTTTGGAAAATTATCCTTCAAGTATTTTGCCTGAGAGAAGCACTGGCTTCTCCAATACATGGACACAATTCCGAAACTGCGAGACACCGTTGGCAACACCCACCACTCCCGGCGCTTCAGCCCAAATCCATCAAGACCTCTCTCCCTTCGTCAGGGATTGGGACGCAGGGGCCCCGGAGTCACCGCCCGGCACGGCAGCACCACAGTCTCCCCAAAGCACCGATACATGTCAGTTCGAAGAACTTGGCTGTCACCTTCCCCGAGCCTGCGAGGGGCCCGATAGGACCCCGAGTTCACGCTGGCGCGCGCGGGAGCTGAAGCCGGGCTAGAGCCAAGGCGTCCTGCTCCGGAAGGGGCGTGATAGCGGAACCCTCGCAGCGGAGAAGAGCCCAGACGCGGGCGCAGGGCGACACCGCTGCAGAGCCCAGGGAGGGGGAATGGGGGAGAGAAGAGAGACGGCTCGAGGGCAGGCAGAAGCGGCCGCGGCTACTCACTCAGCCAAGACTCCAGGCTCTCCCCTTCCGTCTCCGCCATATTGCAGCCGCCCGGGCCGGCCCTGAGGCCTCAAACCTCGCGAGAGTCTGCACGAGACGAGCCGGGGAGGAGCTTGCATGGGGGCCTGAGGAAAGCGAGTGGATCCACCGAAGGTTGCGCCAGACTGTGACGGATATTGGGAGGTCAAGTGTTTCCTTTTGGCTCCTCCCTTTGGACCTCCCCACCCACGTAGGATACTGTAAGGCCCAGATCAAAAGGGTGAAACGCAAATTTAGGACTCTGGATTCTTTAACCCGCCTCCTGTCACTTGTTCAGGCGCGCCGCGGGCAGTCCGCCTGGGGTCCTCGTGGCCTGCCCAGATGGCTGCCTCCGCAGTGAGCTTTGTGCGAGGATGGTCGTGCCTGGCGCTGGGCTTACAGCGTGTTGTCTTACGGCTTCCGAGGTGAGAGGGCGGCTTGCAGTTAGAGGCGCCGCTTCAGTATTCACAGAGGGACCTGCGGGGAAGTTAGGGGACCACAGGCAGGCCGCGTGGGGCCCTGGAAAGAGCATTGCCCTGGGGACTAGGAGATGTTTGTATTCAAGCTTGTTAACTACGTGACTTTGAGCCATTCATAAGTCTTAATGACAACCCCTCGCTTAAGATGTTTGACTGATGTAGGGTAACCCTAACTCAGAACTGAACGTGCGGCGCTGCTAAAGCGCTCAGAGCTGGGATCGCCAGTGTATCGGGAAGTGGGGGGAGAGACGTATAGGCGAGGAGCCTATCCTTACCTTTACCACTTGACAAGGAGGACACTTTCCCGGCCTCTTCGGGGAGGTCCTTTTGTCTCTTGAAATAGGAGCCAACAATTGCGGCTCAGGGGTTCAGGTTTAGCCAGCGGTTCCCACACCGCTCTTCCCAATCTGCCTGTTGGCAAACGTGCCTATTGTTAAGTCAAGTTTATTCACCACTGTGTAGTCAGCTTTTGCCTGCCTCCCCCTCTTCCCACTCCCAGCGTAACCCAGGTGCGGTGGAGTCGCTATGGTCCGCAGTATAGGGATCCCAAGATTGACAAGGAACATTTCCACAAGCCTGTGGCCGAGCTAACTGAAGAGGAGAAGTATGATCGGGAGCTCAAGAAGACTCAACTTATCAAAGCTGCTCCAGCCACGAAAACAAGCTCTGTTTTTGAAGACCCAGTGATCAGGTTAGATGTCAAGAGACGCTTTTTCCGTGGAGTGGGACTATCTCTGGGAGGGTCTGTGGTAAGGATTCCATGATGCAACCTTGGAAAGCTAAGCATGTTGCTTTTCTCCTTGAAGTAAATTCACCAACATGATGATGAAAGGAGGAAAAAAAATGATGGCAAGATCCCTCATGACAAAGGTAAGCAGTACCTCCTTTCTGTCATTTCTTTCCCTGTGGCTTTGCTCATGGTTCTTTGTTTAGCTTAAGAGGAAATAGATTCTTTTTTTTTTTTTTTTTTTGAGACAGAGCCTCAAGCTGTCCCCCTGGGTAGAGTGCCATTGCATCACAGCTCACAGCACCCTCCAACTCCTGGGCTCAAGCGAGTCTCCTGCCTCCGCCTCCCAAGTAGCTGGGACCACAGGCGCCCGCCACAACGCCCGGCTATTTTTTGGTTGCAGCCGTCATTGTTGTTTGGCGGGTCCGGGCTGGGGATTCGAACCCGCCACCTTAGGTGTAGGTGGCTGGCGCCTTAGCTGGTTGAGCTATAGGCGCCGAGCGGGAAATAGAATCTTATACCTGTCCTTAAAGTTAGTTTCACTACAAGCATGGGGGCCCTATTTATTTTTTTTGAGACAGAGTCTCACTATGTCACCCTCAGTAGAGTGGCGTGGCGTCACAGCTCACAGCAACCTCAAACTCTCGGGCTTAAGCGAGTCTCTTGCATCAGCTTCCCAAGTAGCTGGGACTACAGGCGCTGGCCACAACGCCTGGCTATTTTTTGTTGCAGTTGTCATTGTTTAGCTGGCCTGGGCTGGGTTCAAACTCTCCAGCCTCAGTGTATGTGGCTGGCACAGTAACCACTGTGCTTACAGGGTGCCTAGCCTGCATGGGGGCTTTTATGAGGTCCTGCAGAAGTCAAAAATTACCATCTTCCTACCCTCACCTTGTTAAAAAACCTCAATCCTAGTCTTGGTCTAGGATTGTCTTAGTCCTAGTCTAGCAAAAACGGAGGCACTTAAAAAACTCTCTTGGTTCTGTGAAAAAAAAAAAAAAACTGACTTGGATGTGCTGAAGGTACAGCTGCACTGCCATAGAAGAACCAGATAGTGGAAGTAAAAAGCAAGGTTCCAACTGGGCTGAGTAAAACCTTTGGGAGCCTGAATGGCCTCTTCCACAGTATCTCTTTGCAGACCCTGGAAGCTGTGAAAAGGAAGCAATTTGAGAAGTACCATGCTGCTTCTGCAGAGGAACAGGCAGCCATTGAACGCAACCCCTACACCATCTTTCACCAAGCACTAAAAAATTGTGAGCCTGTGATTGGGCTGGTACCCATTCTCAAGGGTGGCCACTTCTACCAGGTGAGTTGTCAGGGCAAAAAGTAGGGTTGCCCACATGTGAAACAAGATGGTGGTGCTTGAGAGTGGGAGAGCCTAGAGTTGGCCTGAGATTGATAGCTCTCTAGAGATCTGCTAATAGAGTCTTGTAGTGTGAAAAATCTCAGGCAGAAGATGGGAAAGGAAGACAGCAAAGAAGTATCTGACATTTCCTGGGACCCCACTGTATGCCCATCTGTCTGGCATCTTATGTGTCCTAAGCTATAAAGTTCTCCTGGTGAGAGACTGCTTCTATACTGTTTTTATGCACTAGTATCTAGTATGCTAGTCCTCAGGGAATGAGGCTTCATCACCGTTTGTTGAAGTGAACTTGGCATCTCTTTCATAGCCTTTAATTACATTTCATAAGTGGGTTCTCTTCTTTTTTCAATATAAACTCCATTAGGGTAGGGACTTTCTCAGTGTTTGCATTTCTAGTGTCTGTCATGATACCTGGCACATAGCAAGGGCCTGGCAAATGATTCTTGGTACCTATGTTCTGAGGTGGCTATGTCACCCCAGTTTATGGGCTTTTCACATTTGGTACTTGCATTAACTTGACAAGTACCAAGTTTAGGAAGGGAAGAGGCCAGTGTTTAATGAGTGTCTATTGAATGAATGTGTCTTAGATCTGCTGCATGGAGCTTATCCAAAGGTAAAAGGGACCCTTTCCTCAGAAACCTTACTAGGGCTGGTCCAGAGGGAACATATGACCACTCCTTAGAGCTCAGGGAGCGTGGAGACAGGTGGCCCCAGCCCTGGCAGGCTCTTGGACCAACTTGCCTGTGTCTCACCCAGGTCCCTGTGCCCCTACCTGACCGACGTCGCCGCTTCTTGGCCATGAAATGGATGATCACTGAATGCCGGGAAAAGAAGCACCGGCGAACACTGATGCCTGAGAAGCTGTCACATGAGCTGCTGGAGGCTTTTCACAATAAGGGCCCTGTGGTCAAGAGGAAGCACGATATGCACAAGATGGCAGAGGCCAACCGTGCCCTGGCCCACTACCGCTGGTGGTAGAGGTTCTAGAGAGCCCAGGGCCCTCTGCTGCAAAGAAGTGTGAGCCACTGCCACGTTGAGAGATACCTGTGGTCTAAGGATGTATAGTTCCTTTTTTAAAGGTGGGCAGCCCTCACAGGAGGGATGGAACAGCATGTGAATTGTCTGATAATCCTTTCTTTAGGTTTAGAACTTGTTCTACCTGCTCCATACCTTGTTAAGAGAGAATGTATCAACTTGAGGATTTCCTCTGAGAAAGTCAAGGCCCAATCTTTTCCTTCAGCTTAAAGTGGGCCTTTAAAGGAAGCAGTTTTAGTACCAGAAAAGATTTATTAGAAAGTTCACTGACCTGGTATAGTATGTGATACAATACTTTTGTTCATTAAAACTGACTGGAGGAAATGTTTGTTTCCAAAGTGGGTCCTTGTACAAAATATGTAAAAAGCAGTTTCTAGTGTGACTTGTGCTGTGCCTCTGCTCCTTCACATGCTAAAGCCTCTCACCAATGGCCATGGTTACCCATTTTACACATGGAGAAACTGAGGCACCAAGGTAGCTGTTGTAAAAATGGTTATAGAGTGCAACTGTTGTTAGGAGTTGCCCTTCCCTGCCTGGCCAAGGTAGGAGGTGGTGGGAGAGAGACTGACAGGACCATCTTCCCCAACCCTGAATGGTGAGGGGAGGGGTCAGGGCAAAACCACAGCATAGGCTTGGCGCCTGTGGCTCAAGTGGCTAAGGCGCCAGGCACATACACCTAAGGTGGCGGGTTCGAATCCAGCCCGGGCCCACCAAACAACAATGGTGGCTGCTACCAAAAAAAAAATAGCCCGGCGTCATGGCGGGCGCCAGTGGTCCTAGCTACTTGGGAGGCAGAAGCAGAAGACTGGCTTGAGCCCAGGATTTGGAGGTTGCTGTGAGCTGTGATGCCATAGCACTCTACCCAGGGGGACAGCTTGAGGCTCTGTCTCAAAAAAAAAAAAAAAAAAAAGAACCAAAGCATAAGTGGGGAATATCTCGCTAGAGTTGAGGAAGTCTACAAGGGAAAATGCTGGAAGACTGAAAGGGGAAGTCTTTGGGAGAGAGAGATTCCACTGTAAGCTTGGGAGGTGGATAGAAAGGCAGCTGCAGGTGAGGAAGCCTGTATCCAGGCTAGTCTGAGACCTCGCTGTAGTAATACTTGTGAGCAGCTGGGGTCGTCTTCCAGCCGGCCGCCCGGAACTCAATGATCTCCAGCAGCAGCAGCTGAGCCAGGGAGCTGAGGCCAGTTGGAAGAAGGAAACCATCGCGGATCAGGACAAAGAGCTCATCCATGCGCTGCCCATTCATCTTCTCTAGCTGCTCCCCAACACGGTGCAGCTGCAGTACCAAGCAGTCCACCTGGAGGGGCAGCCAATTACACAGAAGTAGTTTACTGAGCACTTGCTTTTACACTAGTTTCTTGCTTCATCCTTATACCACCCAGTGAATGTTACCCACCGCATACATAGAAAGAGACAAATTCAGAAACTTGCCCAAGAGCACTTGTCTGGCGGGGCTAGACTTAAGCCTGTCTCTGAACTGCTTCACCCCAATTTTCTACCTCCCCTATGCTCCCTGACCCTGGTTAGGTTTCACAGCTGGCTGTGGCTCTCACCATGCCTATCATAGACTGGTTTTCCTACTTGGGAAGGAAACTACTGAGCAGTAGGTTTTCTGTTCTCTGTTTTAAGTAAATTCCAGACCTAGCAGCTTGTCCTGTGAACTGTGACAGACCTTAAATTCCCCCGCCAGACTCTTGCCCCAGAAGTGATGTCCTTGAAGGCCTCCATGGAAGGTGAGCTAGCATGCTGGGCTAAGCCAGACTGCCCACCACAATGGCCTTCCGTGTCAGGCCCACCCACCTCCTCCTCTTTGCTCAGACTGTCAGGCTGGGCGAGCCGGAAGAGGCAGTCATAGACGGGGTTCACCAGGGCCATCATAGGCATGTTGTTCACCTGTAGGGGGAGAGGGGTCAGTGCACCAGGCTTGGTGGCTGTGGGGAACAGTCCATCTCTGCCTCCCAGGGTGGGGGAGCCTCACCCTGAGGTAGTCAAAGATGTTGCAGATAAAGGTAACATAGCAGACCCAGCCCTGCAGGGAGCGTGCTCTCAGCTGCTCCCGAGCCTGGTATTCTTGCTGTAGCCGGTTGAGGAGTCCACGACGGAAGACACTCTGGCCTGCTTGTTTACTCTCTGCCTGTGAGCCAGGGAGAGGAAGGTGAGGGCCAGGATAGTTCCCTTGTGCTCCCACCCATCCTATGTCTGTCTTTGCCTTTGAGCTAGACCCTTTATATCTCTGTCCTGTGGGCCAGGCCTTCTGCCCACTTCTGAAGCATCTTCCTCAAAGCAGCTCCCTTCACTCTCCCAACCTGAATGATGGCGTAGCACATGCGTCCTGCTTCCTTGCTGAACACACAGTCCTGCAGAGAATGGTCCACAATCACATTGGCCACTTTCTCCAAGTCCACAGCGCCTGGATCTAGAGGCAGAGATATGAGGAGACTCTAGAGCTACTTTGTCATCATCACACTTGCTTCCACCTGCTGTTTGCATGTGAGCTCTCCCATCACACGCCTACATTCAGAGATGAGAAAGCACAGGGGACGGGACGGAAACCATGCACAGGAGCTGCCCTAGATGGCTGCCTCTAGGTGCCCAATCAGAGCAGGCCATGCAGGGCCTCACCCACAGGCTCAGTTTGGCATATGATGGGCATAGATTGTTAGCTACCGACAAACTTCTGTCTTAAGTGTTAGTGACAAGGCATTGGGTCAGAACAGTGAACGTGGCTCCTTCATCAAGTTGAATCCTCCATCCTCGGACCCAAAGGAGGCAGGCAGCATTGCACAATCGAGAGGAAGCTGCAGCTTCATTGAAACTAGCAATTCAAATAAAGGGCTTAAAGGGCAAGAATTGTGGCTAGGCCCAGTGGCTCAGGCCTGTAATCCTAGCACTCTGGGAGGCAGAGGAGGATGTATTGCCCTGAGCTCAGGAGTTTCAGATCAGCCTAAGCCAGAGCAAGACCTCTTCTCTTTTTTTTTTTGAGACGGAGCCTCAAGCTACCCCCTGGGTAGAGTGCCATGGCCTCACAGCTCACAGCAACCTCCAACTCCTGGGCTCAAGCAAGTCTCCTGCCTCAGCCTCCCAAGTAGCTGGGACTACAGGTGCCTGCCACAGCGCCGGCCATTTTTTGGTTGCAGCCATCATTGTTGTTTGGCGGGCCCAGGCTGGGGATTCGAACCCGCCACCTTAGGTGTATGTGGCTGGCGCCTTAGCCAGTTGAGCCACAGGCGCCAAGCCAAGACCTCTAATCTTAAAAAAAAAAAAAAAAAAGCCAGGTGTTGTGGCAGGCACCTATAGTCCCAGCTACTTGGGAGGCTGAGGCAAGAGAATCGCTTGACCCCAAGAGTTCGAGGTTGCTGGGAGCTGTGATGCCACAGCACTCTACTGAGGGCCACAAAGTAAGACTGTCTCAAAATAAATGAATAAAAAGGGCAGGAACTACGTTCTCTTCCAGGTACTTAAAAAGGGGTTGGGGGAGCTTTATATTCGGTGAGGTGAGTCTATGATTCACACTCCCAGATACTGGCCTAAATGCAGCTTGTCTCCCAGTTCAGGAGTTATGTCATTGACGCCTATTCTCAGAACAGAAGAGAAGGCCGGGCATCCAGGGATGCTCCACACAGGCCCTTTTCTACAGTTCCTGACCTCTGCTCAAGAGAGACTCCAGGCTCACCTTTGAGTGCTGTCTTCAACAACTGCTGGGTCTCTGCATCAAAAGACTGGATTTTATATTCCTCTCTACTTGGCTCCCCCATGACGGTCCAGCCCCAGCACCTCCTGACAGCACCTGGGGAGAAGAGGGCAGGGAGCAGCCTCAGGTGTGCAGCAGAAAGCCAGCTTGGTCCTGCAATCTCTGGGTGGGGCTGGCCAGCGCCAGGTATAGGTACTTCTCAGCGGCCCAGGGCATTTGGTGGTTGGCTGAGGGCCCACCTGCTGGGACAGAGCTGTGGCAGTTTAAGAGATCCCAGCCTTGTCACTCATGCTGGGCCAGCTCAGCTTCTGGCGGAGTCTGGGCACCAACGGGCCACCTGCTGCTCAGCTTAGGGATCCCCACGCTTGTGGGATTACACAAGAGTAAAGAGATGAGGGACGAACGCTCACCGTCCAGTCCCAGCAGGAGGCAACAGTTGTTCCCAGCAGACACCAAGGTAGATTTGGGAGGTATGGATAGATGGACATTAATTAGAGTTGCCTAAATAAATGGGCCTGGAAACCGCTGGCCCAGCATGAGTGACAGGCCCGGGTCTCTAAACTGCGCGGCTCTGTCCCAGCTGGATCCCACACCCCTCTCCCCAACCTTCCCTCCTGGCTTTTAGGAGAGTCCGTCTCAGTCCTAAAAATCCAGCCCGCGTGGGTGGCGGTGGGGGCGCCCATCTGCCGCCCCTGTTGGTCGGAGCCAGAACTCCCACGGTCCCGGCAGCCTCTCGCTGGGACGGACTTGTTAAACTGGCCTCCCGAATGGCAGAAACCCTGGCCTACCCAGTCGGGACTCCTAGTTTCTGAACTGTATTCCGGATCCTTCTTCCCAAAGCGAGGAGCGGGACCATGCGTCGAGAGGTAGGACTCGCTGGAGTCCCCACTCTGGCCAACCGAGGAGACCTGAGGGGTTTCCAGACCTCGGCAGCTCCCCAACGCCTGGAAGGCCCTTCCTAGCGACACAGGCGGGCTGCAGAGCCGGCTGTCCGGCGTCCCGCGGGCAGCAAGGGTTACATAGGCACTACGACCCACCTGCCGGGCTCGTGCCCGGGCCGCTGGGTAGGCAGGGAGCGCGCGCCGCGGGGCCGCCGCCGCTCTGTGCACTTCCTAGTGCTGCGCGGGGTGAGCCGGTTCGCCAGCGCCCCCTGCCGGGACTCTGCGCACGGCCCGCCCCGGAGCCACAACCCCAGGCGTGGGCCAAGCAGCACTTCCGCAACACTGCTCCCGCCGCCGCCGCCGCCGCCGCCACTGCTCCCGCCTCACTCAATGCAGCCTGGCCCAGTCCGGGACCAGAGCGGTTCGTGGGCGCTGGGCCGGACCCGCTCCTTGGCCCGCGTGAAGCCCTCGTTCCTGCTTGGGGTCCCCATCTTGGCCTTCTGCGGGGCTCAGGGAAGTGCCACCCGGTCGCGCGGCTGCGGAGGAGCCTCAGAGAGCGCGATCTGGGAGGATGGCAGCTCCTCCCACGCCATACGGTTCCTCCGCTCTCACCCAACCAAATGAAAGAAAAGGAGTCAGCCAGGACTGAATCAACTTTGATCTCCTTCTCCTCCAACTGGGACAACACTGGCAAGAGAAGTTTCAGATCTGGGGGCGGTCCTAGAGAAAGAGGCCCAGTTGGCAGCTTAACGCCTGGGGCTGGGAGAGATGACAAGTTGGTTGCAAAAGGGCTTCCATAAGGTTGGAAGAAATGCCACCCCCTGCTTCCGCTATGGCCCTTGGTGCTGCTGAAGTTCTTATCTCCCGTTAAAAGAGCCACGAGAAAGGCCAGGCGCTGGCGTGGGCGTGGTGGCTCACTCTGGGAGACCAAGGCGGGAGGATCACTTGTGATCAGTAGTTTCAGACCACCCTGAGCCAGAGCAAAGACCCTGTCTCTAAAAACTAGCTGGGTGTGGTGGTGGGCGCCTGTAGTCCCAGCTAATCGGGAGACCAAGGCAAGGCAATTGCTAGAGCCCTAGTTTGAGGTTGCTGTGACCTATGACGCCACAGCACTCTACCAAGGGTTATAAAATAGGCTTGGCACCCATAGCTCAGTGGTTAGGGTGCATGGCTGACGGGTTCGAACCTGACCCGAGATTGCTAAACAACAACAACAAAAATAGCTGGGCGGTGTGGCGGTAGTCCCAGCTACTTGGGAGGCTGAGGCAAGAGAATTGCTTCGCAAAAGTTTGAGGTTGCTGTGAGCTGTGACACCGCGGCATTCTACCGAAGGCAACGTAGTGAGACTTTGTCTCAAAGAAAAAAAAAAAAGAAAAAGGGTGACAAAATAAGACTGTCTCAAAAAAAAAAAAAAAAAAACCTCTCAGAGTGGTCAACAAAAATGGAGAAGGAAGAGAACTCTCAGCTGCACCAAAAAAATAAAAGAGAACAGGCCTAATGCACCTAATAAAAGCGAACCATAGCACCGGCCACATGCACCAAGGCTGGTGGGTTCTATCCCAGCCTGGGCCTGCTAAACAACACTGACAACTGCAACAAAAAAATAGCCGGGTGTGTGGCAGGCGCCTGTAGTCCCAGTTACTTGGGAGGCTAAGACAAGAGAATTGCTTAAGCCCAAGAGTTCGAGGTTGCTGTGAGATGTGACACCATGCCACTCTATGTGAAGCTGTCTCAAAAAAAAAAAAAGTAAAAGAGGACAAACTTGGGCGGTGCCTGTGGCTCAGTGGGTAGGGTACCCGCCCCATATGCCAAGGGTGACGGGTTCAAACCTGGCCCCGGCCAAACTACAACAAAAAAACAGCCGGACGTTGTG